CCAGCAACATACAAAAATTGGAAAGAACTTAGATCATTAGTAAGTGCTTGCGATGGTTCATTACTAAATGTTCATTTGGGGTCCCTATCAAGCAATATTAAATGCTCTACTTGAAATACGTACTTTCATTTGCGAATGCTCTGTTAGGTTATGTATCTATGACAATAGTAAACAGACTAACTGAATAATTAAGTGAAAGTGACCTAACAGGCATGGTAATTGTTAACCCGGTTCAACTGTTTACTGTGGAAAGGTGATGCCATGAACAAAAGAAATGCATCCCATGGAGATTGACCAACATACTTTTCTTCAACGATGCCGCTTTATATGTGTATTCCAACCAGTTGACTTTGCCTCATGTTATGCTGCTGAATCCATGCCTTCCCATCCCGTCCACTCTTTCGCTGGTTGGGGCGTCATCGTCCTGCTTACTTGTCTTCTTGTAAGAGTAGATGCTTTTATTAAACCATCCTCTAACTTTCATAGCGATTAGTTTGCAGCTCGGATTTCTCGTTTGCACCTAAAACCTGTATTGTCGGACATGTTAAACACATTGAAAATATACCAGTGTGATGACCAGTTACAGTATATGTACGCAGTGGTCTCTTCTTACTGCAATCACTAATACACTTTTCGAACAGTATGTTGAAGGTGCTTTTAAGGAAGTTTACGGTAAATTTGAATAAATCACGGAGCCACAGCAAGAATGAATGCATCTTGACAAAAATTCACTAATGACATGCAAACAAACACGTTGTCCTTCAAAGTTAATATATGTTTCGTATGTGGTGGTTTTACGACGTATAATTACACTTTAATTCTAGACACATGTTCGCCGCAGGTAAAACACCTTAGCCCATTAAGAGTAAATTACTGGAAGATGCGAGTTTTATCGCACTGCTTTACCATTTTCCCATTGAAATAACCCTACATTTTGTCTTAGTTTCTGTCTATTGAGTAATTTCCGAATTATGCTTACCGTGCTACAATGGCACTTTGATAATTGCGCCTTCGAGAAAAATGCACACAAATTCATGTGCAGATGTCAAGTAATGAATGGCCAACTAGAACAACAAACTAAACTAATATAATTATTAATAAACAACAAAAGAACATTGCAAACACATTGCTTCGTTGCTTGGTGCATCAGGTGCGTGAATCAACTGCAACTGGTATTTACAATTTGCGTCGCCAATTGCTTTTAACGAAAACTCTGCATTCCAGTCACCTAGAACCTTGTGGTTTGCAGTGTACGTGTGAAGTGGCATTTGACATTTATCGGCTTTAGAACATTTCTGTTTTTTACTCGGTCTGGTCTCCATTTCAAATTAGCCGGTTAACCGTTTTAATACTTTATCCCTTTAATGTAAATAAATGCCAGCAAGCCACATTGGGGATGGCAGCTGAGTAATTCTATTTTATTTAATGAAATTTCTTATGATGACCATTAATCAAGGAATCAAAAGCAATAAATTATTAGCTAAATGAGACTCAAATAACCTTGAACTTAATGATACAGATGTCACAGCTAATGGCATGAACTATGTGTACTACACAGTCAGAGCGAATATCGGAAAAGCCCATCCCAATTTTGAAAACCGTATTCGGAATTTCCCTCCACAATTTATCATATATATTCCATTCGTCTGAGATGTCTACTCGACTGGATAACATTGCATATTCTACTGAAACCATAAATTTACTTTGTCATAAACCAACTAATCAAAACTGATGTTTCCGTCAGTGCTAAGCTAATTGCTTAGCTAAGTAGGACAGAGTTTTATAACGATAGGACTTCAACTCACAAAAATTAACAGGCCGACTTAACTGACGAACATGCCAAATATATTGCGTGTGTAATAGGTCTAACGTAGTAGGCTGGCCGATTGCCGGTTTAATGCACAGAATACTTACTAGTTTCCTCTAACGGTAAGCCGCATTAGTGTTTAATGTTCAATATGTTCAATCCGGTTTATGGGAGTGCTATGCATCAACTTTTCACAACTCGCGTTACTAGACTAACAATACTTGACAATATCACGAGAACAAGATTGAATGCAAGCAGAACACGAGTGTTTGAATAAGATAGTAGTAGGTAAAACTAAGCAGGATGCAAGCAATACCAAGTGCAGGGTACAAAAACCGAAGGCATCCCCATCACTAACTACGCATCTGCACCATGTCCGATAGATTATCCTACTACCGGTGTGTACCATCCCAAAGAACCAATCCAAATGATAGGTACCAGCAGGATCAAGTCACACAATAGACTTCTTTAGGTATTTATGCCAAGTCATCAAGTCACCACCTCGCGGTTTCGTCCAACTTAACGCATCTGCGCTGCGTACTACTACTACTACTACTACTATTACTACTACTACTACTATTACTACAATTACCTGAGGAAGCCGGGCGACTAAAGTACAGGGGATAGGACCTAGTCAACGTAAGCAAGTAAGCAACAGCAAATATTGGAGTGAAGAAACTTGGTATTTCCTGCTCAGAACTAACCGGTGGACCCCACCATTGCTCACTCGGTTTTTCCATCAGATGTGAGAAATACTCCGCAGGCACCCGTGAACACATTCGGTTAGTCACTTAATGTCTTCGCTGTGACAGTTATCGTATCTGGGACCCATGCATTACCACAGACCTTATCGCGGTATTGTACACCCTACCTTTCACTGTTAGGTTAATATTTCATCTGTCAGTCAATAAGTCAACCATGGTACTTTGTCATGTCATGGAACTGCAGCCACGCTTACGCTGATCGGTGGTGGACCCCAAGCACACAGCGCCGCGTCTGCCATACAACCGAAACCATCTGCTTCTCTAACACTTTTCGTTTGAGTGTTATATGCAAGCAGCACGTAACAAAGCGTTATTCCATCCGAACATATAATGCAGGGCAAAAGTGCAGAACAAATCATGTAATTTTTTAGATTTTGTCTTCTTTTCATCAAATTATAACGGACGATGGAATCATACTTTTTCTAATGTCGCAGTCAATTAATTACCAACGACCTCTTTCATTCAAATCATTAGTAAATTGGCCATTTAGTTAGGTGTTCTCCATTACTTCTCCAACTGGGATTAGCCACCTTTCACACAACGTTAGCCACTGCTATGCCAAACGTCTGTCCTTATCTGCTCTGGAGGTAACACAAAAAATATGTTTACTTCCTCCTATTTGGAATACTGTGGAACTGGATCCAACACATCAATTACTAAATTCAAGTATATGCCGTTTCACACATTACGTAGACGGATAGGATTTGTATGTGTCGATAATGCAAGCAAAAGTTGACGTCTCTTACATTTCGTCTAAAAATTAAGGGTTCGCCAATGAAATATAAACTGAAACACTGGTTGCCAAAGGGTAGATGCGGACTCCATACGTTTGCAGAGGACATCTCTGAAGGTAACTTGCATTTAGCTGAATTTAACCTTCCTTGGTCGCTCAGAATGAAAGATGCTGTGGCACTATTCGAACTCTAGGGAATATTTGCTATGAACTTCAATTGCAGAACATTCACTGTCCTGCGCGGTAAACAAGAGGAAAACCACAAAATGAGAAGAAATGCTGACAGAACGGTCAATTACTTATATTGGCCATAGCGTTCAGATGAGAATGCGCATGTATTGAAACGCTGGTGATTACACCACTTGTCACGTAACACTTTCATTCGATGTACATGTGCCTATCTTCATTACTCAGGTGGGTTGGCTTAACGTCAAGATTTTTTTGATACGGATGGCGTGGAGTCAAGCAAAGGTAGTCAGGAAGACGTTCTACAATAGACACCCATTTTGGGTGACATGTCTCAACGCATTTCAGGTATCTAATATGCATGGTAAGTTAGGCTAGTGACCCCCAGCCTGGGGTTTTGCTCGTATTTCACATAAAGACTTCCAAGGTGGTTGTGGTTTCTCAGAAGCTAGAATATCATTATAAGTTCATCCCGCAGGCACTGATACTGGTTACTGCGCAATCTCAGGGTCCTCAGCGCGAGTTGCCAAGTGATGGAAGCCCGTTATTATCCTAGTTGTCTGCTAGTCGTGGAGTTCTAGACACGGTGATACCTTGAGTATGCAAGGTTTGGAAAGCAGAAGAATGATGTCTTGTTTGGGTTCTTCAACATCTGCTTGGATCGTGTCGTGCAGCCAAGGTCACCGTAAACTAACACTTACAGGGTACGCTTCTGGACCGTATACAGGACGTGTTTTCCAAACACATATATGCAGCCCGGTCCATGATGAAAATGGATCACTTTGGTTTTACAGGAATTAAAAAGGACAGATTCAACACGATTACTTATATATTTTCTTTAGGTTTTTGAAGTGTTGCATTATCTCCTTGGTTGTTAAGTGTCGCCATATACTGTCATCAGCAGCAAAGATTAATAAACGGTCACGCACATGTGCTTTTGATATTGACAGTCTAAACAGTGACCCATGTATGTAGCTCCTTGCTTAAAATAGGTCGGATCAGAGATGATATCAGCAATTTGTGCATCAGTCGTCTAAAGTTTATTTCAACCATGTTAAACTCATATAAACTTAACACGTTGAGAGGAAACACGTGAAAGACGCAAACGCTTCGCAAGGCTTTCCAAAGGAAAATTTCCTACCACCTGTCATCATGGTAAGTTTTTTAATCTTGTCAAATTAATCGCTACTAAGTAAATAAATACTAGCGAATCATGCCATCTTTGTTGAATGAGCACCTGGCTGGTACATTCAGACACAAAGTGCTCTTATCTAAGGACTTTCCGTGCGTTTTTGATTTAAAATATTCAAACATCTTAGCTCCGTCCAACCAGTCGCTCACAATTATATGCTTCGATATTCAAAACGGTTAGTCACGTTCAGACAGCAGCCTTTAACGATACGGAATTACTTGATAGCTCGGTTGCGGTTAACAGAAATGCTCTGAACAACCACGTGCTGCCCTTGTTAAGTGTAGCGTACCTCTCGTTTTTCTCCTGTCTCATTAATAGACAAGGATCGCAATTTGGCTACTAATAGAGGATTATGATACAACTGGAAATGATGAAATGGCGCTGATCCATGAAATACTTCACTTCGAGTCTAGGAGGACCCGACTGCGTCTGAACCACCCCGTGTTGTGAGTTAAACGAAGACGATGATTATTGGACGCGAATTTTGAGGTTACTCACCACGTTCTAAATTGCAGAGCAAAAATCTTTCACCCCTTTAAGGAAACAATCATACCTATGACCACAAGATGAAACTGAGGTTGTTAAAGACAGTTAAATAGAAAATTTTGTATTGTCACCCTTTAGATGCAGTGTTCCTTTCTTTGATTGTGTCGTAACGGGCATCAAATTCATAGCAATTAAGAGCGAACCAACTTATCTATGCATAAAAATTTTGCGTAGGTTTTTTATTAGCAAACTTTTTCAAGCACATCTTTTGTCCTGGAACTTTTCACCCTAACAGACCCCCTCACTAAATGTGATAGAGCACTCACGTCTACTCTCATCTAATTACTTACAGCGTGGAGATTGTTGTGAATATAGAATGCACGAAGCATTACTACGGACCTCAATGCAATGTTTATTGCCAACCGAAAGACGGACACTGGTCGTGTAATCCACAGACCGGTGACCGAATTTGTGCCAAGTCTTGTTACAATGGCGTGTGCAAAATAAGATAGTGAGTACCGTACAGTATCAAATGAAGTTCAGACATGAGCTAGCGGCATTAAGCTTCTTACATGTAGTTTCGCTCAACGTGTATACTGGAAGAACATCACAATCCCTGCGAATTTGTTTATTGCACTTACCTATGGATTGGAAAACTTTTATTTGGTGTATCTTATTGGCAGCACAAGTGTAGAGGCGGACTACCAACGTAACCTGTGCAATTAAGTAGACATTGACGGAACCCCATGCCGCACGTTTAATTGTATTCAAATGGTTCCATCGAACCGAATGTCATGGGAACAATCAATAAAAAGGATCCTGTTGCGGATATAGACGATAATAATCCCGAAATCTAAAGCCATCAACCGTACGGTCTCGGAATTTTTTCTTTGATTACTAGAGTCAGAAGACAAAGCAAAACAAAGCATTTTGGATAGCAACGCTTACCTACTTGATATCAAACATGATATCAAATTTGTCTGTTCATTAGTACGGATTATGGTTATTAAATATATCATATTCAAGTAACTACTTGCCTTTCACAAACCGTCAGCATTCAGTCTGCAGCCAAAGTGTTTTAACTCAAGGGATGATAGGCCAAATTATACTGGGATGAGAGTTACTGGATGTGACACAAACAAAGTAAAATAGAGAAGCTTCCTTTCTTGTTTGCTGATTGAAATTGTAGCTAATGCATCTCAGATACGACTAGAAACGATTTCAATACTAAAGAGAACATCATGAATAATGTGTCCCGTTTTTCATCGAGCAATTTCGGCGTTTACCAGGATAGAACAATAATATTTTCTTGTAATTCAAGCTGCCATATCGGCACATACTTCCTGTTAATGCAGTCAAAGAAAAATATCAAACTTACAGACGACTGTCTTGAACCAGCCGCTTAAACATTTTATATGAATATCTTTATCCATGTCTAGATTATATGCCTCCTGAAATCTGCCAACCTGGTTCTCATACTGACCGTATATCAAGGCCCATTGCCAATCTAGCTGTTCCTTATCACTACATGTTAGACCATGCAAGATTTAGAATTCGTAAAGCGAAAGAACGCCTCTGTGTTTTGCTGATTCGATAGAACGTGAAATTAACCATTTCCAGAGCACAATTCAGTTGATAAATTCTAAGGCTTTTGGTATATTTGCCTTCATTTGTAAATACACAACTGACCATCCGAAGTGACGTGTAAAGCCTTAGCTATTTAGTCCGCAATATACTACTGGCAACGGGTCATCATGGCTCAATACCATTTCTGCTCTATAACTGTGTCATAAAAAGCGATGGAAAAAACACCAGAAATGATTGTATATTAGTGAATGTATCATAGAATCTAGGTCTAGGAAGATAATACGCTCTCCTTATTAGCTGCATCGGTTGAGATTCTCCTCGATTAATTTAGATTGTTCAACAGTATCGCCGCTAAAATCTGTGAGCCTTTAAATAATCAATAATTATACTGAGCAATTTAAAGTCCCATTTAATGAGGCTTTCTTATAAATTCTCAAATATAGGTTAGAATTAAAACCTTTAGCAAGCAGTTGTTCCTTGCAAATGACCTAAAATGTAATACCAGTCGTTATTTTTTCTTTTCCACGTATGTAGCTCTGTTGCTGTGTGCTCCTGCCTTGATGGCTGGCATGGAGAGTTTTGCGAAAGGTATTTACATTTTGGATACCAGTTAAGCCCCTCATTTTACATGATGACGACTGACCGAAAAGTGGACTCCTCTACCGCGGGCAGTGATGAATACGGGAAATCCTCCGAGGAAATCAACAGTAAACGCTTTGAGAACATTTCTGCTTTAGCATCTGCTGAGAAACTCTATGTTGTAATCAACAAGCCACTCGGTGGGTTACTATGCTTGACCATCATTTTACACTTGATAAATTTGAAATTATAAGCTCCTGTTTGTATAAGTTGAGTGACAAACGTTAGAAGAAACTACCAAGTACCAACAGAGGAACAATGAGCATTCAACAACGAGTTTGGGCTTGTTAAGATGCATTGCTTTACAAGTATTGTTGATTGGTCTGGTTGGTTTACCAAAAAGCCTTACTAAAAGGTGTTGGTAATTGAATTATTAAAAGATGGACTTATACTTTGTTCTGCAGTAGTCCTGCACTTTGAGTGGTTTTACTGCACCAGCGGATAGTAAATAATAAATCCAAAGTATTTTCTTAGAATAGGACGGAGAGGTTGCCAAGAAACGGAATGTAAGTGAATGAGTGCGTCATCCAACTGCCATTTACATATGGCCAGCGTGGGTGCATGAAAGCCATCTTTGTAAGGAATATTCCACTAATGATACAGACGAACTGAAAAAACTACGACATTCCAGACGACTAATTTTCTACTAGTGTCAAGGAGTAAGCCATCAGTTTTGTTCCTCTGTTGAATCGCAGTAAGGAGCGACACATATTATTTTGATCTTGCAAAATCAACTAGGCTATTTTCAGCTCATTTTATAAGCAGTGTTATCTTCCACTGAATACCCCCAATTGTTTCAGCCTCTGCTCGTATTGTACATTCCACTAATGTAATTGCATGTTTGACGTTCAGACTGCTCCAGTGTATTGTCGTGCTTCCTGGATATCTGTCAGTCCTGAATGTCGTACTCGACACAGGGACGTACATATGAGCTTAACATTTGTCGAAAAATGGGGATGTCTGTCAGAACGCCAGTCGAAACAACCTTAAGTGTTGGTCCACAGACTTCGACGCATTTTCGGATTGTCTAGAATAACCAGGGCTATTCCGAATTAGTACACCCATATAACTTTCGACAAAACATCGCTGCTGTACTTGCGTTACGAGCCTGTATGGGTAGTTGGTTTCGTGCTTTGGTTTCGGATGGAGAGTATCTTGCAGATAATCACGTTGAATTGCAGTGCATTGCAGATTAACTATCGTGTCTACTTCACTCTGAAGCTGTAGCTGTTCGGAGTTCCGCTGAATCCTGCGCCATATATTGATGTCACGAAAAAACATCGAAAAACTGGAGGCCATTATCTGTGCAAACTCTTTAGGAGGATATCAAAAACCATCGTGTCCTTAGTACTGAGAATGGTGGCAAACCTCAATCGGCATTTGCTGGGTCAGCTATGCAGCAGCAAACTCTGACTAACACCACTGTCGTAAAAGGAAGTTGGCCATCAATTTTAGAAGACCACCATTCCCGTAAAATCGGAGCCTAGGGAGAAGAATGCGCTGATAAATGAACAAAGGACACTGAATGCATAGAGATGAAGAAACGTTATTATACAAGTACCGATAGGTAGTTTAGTGGGGCTATCGAAACAATAACAACAAAACAGTTAGGTTTTAAGTTTATGTGGAGGAAATATCATTTATTATGCCTAGCCCTGCAATCTTTGTAAATGCACAGTACTCATATGTAAAAGCAAATGCATCTAGAATAATGATTGCAACATAGGTCTAAGTAACAAAGTAAAATTAGACTTTTGATACACCTATCTGCCGTTCAAATATTTATTAATGTCAGCGTAGAGACTACCGATTCAGGGAGAGAATTGCACGACAGATATTCACGAACCAAACTCCTGGGGAAAAGCAACGGCATATTGTTCAGTGACTTCAAATGAGTGACCTCAGGTTCGTATTGTTGTTGAGCTGCAGTAAAAAGCGGCGTAAGTGAACTGGGTTATGCGGAACCAAGTAGGGCATTAACAGAATAAATTAAGGGTAGGGGTTTTTAATATAACTAATTGGGGTTCATCGCCCCCAGATTCCAAATCAGATATTCGGCCACATGCTCGGAAAAGCCATAGACTGCGGTTTCAGCCAGTTGAGCATTATCAGTATTGCAAATACTTTGGATGCATCAGGATTCAAAGCCATCCACACCACCGGCTTGAGCCGCCAGGCAGCAGTTTACGCCCATGGGCCATGGTCGTCAGCTTCAGACTGTCATCATGTACAAGCTAACCACGATATTGCGCGTCATATCCTCTGCTGCCAACCAAAGTATGTACTTTGCGGAGGACATGGTTGACCCCGAAAGACACCACGTCCACTAACCGTAGCTATACACGACATGACATTCAGAGAGTGTTAGGGGAGTATATATTTGTGTGTACTCTTGGGTAGATAATTTGACACAATCGATTGAGTTTTTACGCAGCCCATGTCCGAATCCGCTATTCAACCACATACCAAAGTCTGGCGCCCACAAAAACAAAGACAATGAGCTTTACTATGAGTTAAGTTTTGAAAGCCTATTCTGCTAAACAAAAGGGCTACTAGAAAAGTCACCTGAAGACCTAGAATGCTTTAAGTGTTCTCTGGTGAATACTTGCCACCAGTATCGCACTTGCCATGTCTAAAATCACGGCTCATTTAAAAACAAGCAACTTGAAGCTCTGGAGGATTTACGATACGATGGTAATATTTTCCTGTGCAAACCGGACAAAGGTAACCGGGGTTGCTCTATTAGGCGGAGAAGACTATATAAACAAGCTCGAAATAGTTCTGAGTGAGAAAGCGAAGTTTTCCGGAACGATTAGAGAAAAGGATCAAGCAGAGAGAATTAAAAATCAGATTATTAAGAGCTTGCAAAGACTCCAGGATAGTGAACGTATGTCATATACGCCTTACGATAGGCTTAAACCAAGTGACACGATTATCCCGAAGCTTTATGGGTTACCGAAAATTTATGTGACAAATGTCCCACTTTGCCCGATCTTATCCATGGCTAACTCACCCTATCACGCCGTCGCCCAATGGATTGTGGAAATCCTAGAGCAAGACAGCGACTAACACACTACAGTCTTCGTGGCCCTTTTCATTTTATCGATAGCATCAAAGACCGCAACATCTGTAAGAAAATAATGTTTTCCTTGCATGTTTTATCGCTTGTAAACAACATGTCACTTTTGAAATAATCGAATGCCTTTGATCATACATATAATAAACCCAAACAAGGCTTTGTATACCGTTGCGTGATCTGAAAAGCCTCCTTTCGCTTTGCACTTGGAACATGCAGTTCCTATTTAATGGCAATTATTATCAACGCAAGGATGGTGTAACTATAGGATTGTTATTGGGTCCGTTTTTAGATAGCGTTTTCATGGCGAAATTACTGAATACCAAATTACATGTGGAGATCACGGTCTTTGAAGGTCATCCTCGCCACATGGACAAAATGTGTCGTGTCCGATCATTCAGTTGATCCTGACGCTGTTATAGACCTTTTTAATCGGGCCCACGTAGCATTGCATCTTACCTACAATAAAGAATTGAAAAATTAGTTGTTGTTTCTTGATGTCCTGTTAACTAGAAGGGCAGATGGTTCGATCCAACGGCAGGTCTACAGGAGCGAAACCTAAAGCGGCCAGTATACGAAATTCCACAATTTCGGTATGCTGAGGTATAAGCGAAACGTAATTTGCTCTCTAACTCAAGGACCCGCAGGATCTGCTCTGAAGATACGTGGGATAACAAGTTGACCTTCCTTCAGAATTTGCTGCGCGAAAACGGATATTCCGATCGTTTCGTTCTTAGAAACATGCATGACAATCCCGAACTGTTGTGAGTTCAGACAGCAGCGAAGAAAGTACTTTTCCTACGACTAAATTTCAAAGAGGCCGCCACTGCTGAGCGGGTAACTAGCAGCCTTACAACAGCTGTCAAACCAACTTTCCAAGCAGCCAAGCTTAGGAGCATCTTTTCAACCGAGCCACTCATTTGTATTCAGAACAAAGACAAGTTGCCGAGGCTGACCGCTTCTATGGTCATTTATCAGTTCGAGTGCGTCTGTGGCGCTGCTTACATCGGTCGAACGGCGCGGCAACTGTCGAAGCGCGTTAAGCAGTACTTAAAACGCTGGTTGCGTCGAGGCGGTACTGGAGCTATAACTAACTATTTTATGGCTAATCTTATTGATAGCGGGAACGAGTTTTACCCAATCAGTGCATTTCGGATATTATTCAGGGTGCCTCCACTGCAGTAGAAAGACCTGCGCCTCTGCGCCCTTGTTACTGCCTAGGCGATCAGCATGCGGTTGTATCAGCCACATAGTCTGCACGAAAGGCTGAGCGAAGCTGTTAAGCTACCTTGGCCAGACAAAACGAATTATCTGAGGGTAACTGTAATTGTGCAACAGCACCTTTGTCCTAGTTTGTAGATTAGTGCTGGTGCATGCCCTTGGGCGACAAGTGATGAAATCCCATTTGAATTGATATAATCCACCTTTACGCTTATTGCTATTTCACCCATATGCTTGAATGGGTCTGAGATGAATCATCCAAAACAATGGCTTACCTTCGGTCTTTCGTGCTTGATAATTAAATGGGAGTTTTCCAGTTACTAGAAACAAGTAGACTACAGTTACAGCCTGTTGGGCATCATGAGCATTGCGCATCCATTGGATCCATCAGGATTCGAACGCATGGCCCGTAGCGGATTAAACCGCCAGGCAGCAGCATTTGCCACTGGGCCACGGGGATAGCCTCAGACCGTCATGATTTGCAAGCTAAATAGGAGATATCACGTCTCAGCTTCCACTGCCCCAAATTAAAAATCTTTCAGCGGGCAGGGTTGGATACTACTGAAACGGATATAAGTAGTGTGTTGCAAGCTGACACACCAACAGCGAGCCTTGCCGACTTCCCCAAAGTTGAAGATGACCTCAGGATTCCAGTTCCATGTGCACGAGGAGTAAACACAGAGACGAGCACCAGTTGGGAAACACTCTATGGAAATCACGCGGATGAGCGGATGCCTCCAAAGTAACTGTATGGGAATCACGCAGATGGGCGGACGCATCCAATGTATGAACGGACACACCTAGTATAAGCCACTTGAGCAATAAACAATTACCGCCTGCCAC